CCATGCTAAGCCTGTGGACACTAGCCTGCAGGCTGGGGGTTTGGGGCTTTCAAACCTGGTTTTATTAAAAGTTCCTAAGCATTTTCTCTTCAGAGGCTTGTCTGTCTCATTAAATAATAAGTCACGTGGGCTGGGAGCACTGACCTGCCTCACCTCATCAACATCCATTTCCCTTTATCTTTTAGAGAGAAATGATAATTTATTCCTCAGTAATGGTTGCTGGGAGCAGACCACCTGATAAACAGATGTGATTAATAATGAATTAAATTAACATCACCTTTCAGCCGACAGTGGGGAAAAGCTTCCAGAATCTGTGTGTAGGTGCACATATGCATGTGCATGAGTGTACGTATGTGTGAGTGTGCACAAGCACGTGTTGTGTGCATGTGTGTGAGCCCGTGTGCATGTGCATGAGTGGGTGCACATGTACACGTGTACGTGTGTATGCGTAGGCACTACTAGTGTGTGTTCACATCCACACACACATTCTGTGGACCTGAGAAGGACATCCATGAATGAAGGGACATGGATGGGAAGCCAGATGTGGCACCCTCTGTGCAGTCCAGTGTGAATGGGTATTTGATACGTTGTACCTGCAATAATACCCTGGAGGAGCCCATTTCTCAAAGACGCTCTTTGGAGGGTATGTTTGCAGACACCTTTACAATGTGCATAATCATCTCCTAATTCCTGTTTGGAAAATTAATCTTCTGCTTTCTTAAAGTGTGGTGCAGGGTTTTAGAAATAGGGTCAGTGGCTAAAGCCGGTTTTAGTCTTTGTAAACCCACCTGAGGAGACTGGTTAAGGAAATTAGGGTACGTCTATACAGTGAAATAATACTCAATCATTAAAAATGAGGTGGCTATCAGCCTAGAAAGAAGTTCCTGAAAATACTGTCAAGCAACAACAACAACGACAACAAAACCCAGTTACCAAACAACGACTATAGGGTGAAATAAATGTGCAAGCTCTATGTTTGCAAACTATCTGGAAGATAACAAAACACTTAGGTGTAAACAGTGGTTGTTTCTGACAGTTGGATTGTGGGTGTGTGCTCTTCCTTCGTTTTTCTTGTCTGTATTTTCTACAACAAACATGTATTGCTTATGTAATAATGAAAAGGTACTAAGAGATTATTTTAATTTGAAAAGAAAAGAAACGATCCCACTGAAGGTCTTTAGACCCTGACAGCCCCAGGGGAGGATGGTGAAAGTGTTTTTGGAAGCAAAGACGCGGGAGACAACCAGAGAGCCAGCGCTCTTAGCTCCCACTCTGTGAACCTTCGAAGGTGCTGGTGGCTCTCCCAACGAGGTCACCCTGAGAGCGGAATCGTGTTCTCAGAGTGGTTGTGCTCACACCCACTAGTGTCTGTGGGAGAACCCAATCCCTCACCCTTTCATTTGGTTCCTGCCTCACACCGTTTCTCTTGATAGGTGACATACTCATTCCTAGGACACTGAGAGAGTCCCCTGAATTGGGGACCAGGCACCTGCCCAAGGTGGCCCCCACCGTCAGCCAGTGCCTACTCAGCAGGGCCGCCCTCCGCCCACCCAGGGGCCTGAGGCACAGTCAGGGCAGGAGGCACTGCTCTGGTGGTTTCTGACCAATCATCAACTCCCCCCCCCCACGGCCCCACTGCCCAATGGCTGGGGGCTCAGTTCCTGGAAACAAGGCAGACAAAGCACTCAGCCTCTGACCTCACCCACTCACCTTCAGGAGCACAGGGACCCCTGTGAAATTAATTCACACCTCCACCTGTCCGGTCCCAACGGGAGGACCAGGTGGACAGGAGTGCCAGTCACTGAAAGTACCACTTTTACTCTGATGGTCAGTGAAAGTAACACCATGCCTCAAAGGTCCTGAGTGGGATTCGGGAGAGCTGCCTCCACACTTGGCTGAGGGTCTTGGGGCCAGTTATGGGTCTTTCAGACCCCAATCTCCTTCTTGGTCATAAAAGGAGGGAGTTGGACAAGAAGGTCCCCGGCTCCCTCCCCGCTCAGACATTTGACAGCAACTGGACCACAGCAACACCCTCTTCCTACTTCCTTCATATTTCAGGATTAGGAATAGATTTCTGAGAAAGAAACTCCTTGCCAGCTTGGAGCGTGTCTCTCCCCCTTGCACACACACACACACACACACACACACACACCCCAGTGCCACAGCACAACTCCGTGAAAGGCCTCCAGTGTTGACTCCAAACCAAGGACACAGCAAACTCCGGTGACAACGCCCTCACTCAGCTCCCCAAACACTGGGGCTCCTACCCCGGGGATCCCACTCTGTCCTGCACGAACCGCTGCCCAAGGAGGCCAGTCTGGGGCCGACACGCCCACAGTCAGACAGATGTGTTCCTCCCAAGGCAGTTCATGGCCAAACCACTTCCGCATGGCACACAATGAGTGAGGGATCAGAAGACCCAGAAAATGTGAGTCCCAGTCCCAGCCCCCCACAGGGCCCTCATCTGCAGTGGGGGGTGACGGTTCTGACGGGGCTGGGTGAGGCTCAACCATGGCAGCAGATGTAACCATGCAGCGTCACAAGACTTGTCAGCACGATGCTCTGAACTGGCCTCTCAGGAGAGGTGGAGTGTCCGCCTCCCCACCAGGCCCCTTCCCATGGGTGAACCAGCCTGCTCTGTCCCTTGACCAGGTGCTGTGGGTCCCAGAGCACGGGATGGCGGCAGGGAGGCCTGGCCCAGCCCTGCTGTGATGCCTTTCACAGGGGGAAGGGACCGTGGACCAGCAGTTTGTTCCTGCCTCTGATTTATTTTTTTTTTTCCTTTCCACCCACCCCCAAACAGAAACAGATGAGAAACCCTAAAAAATGCCACAAGACGATCAGAAAGGCCAAGGAGATGCAGAGCTGCTCCGACAGGGATGCTCTTTGGTTACAGAAAGACTTTCTGCTTTCCCGGCGCCTCTCTCTCCTAACGAAAGTCCTGTGCCCTTGTCTGCCTGCTCTGGACAGAACATAATTGAAACAGGCTGGGTGGCCACCCCTCCAGCAGGCCTCCGAATTGCCAGAGGGAGGAAGCGTTTGGAAAAGACGCCCGTCAGCGCTTTCTGCCTCCTGGCCCGTCTTCCTCCCACTCAGCCTGCGTGGGCCAGGCAGGCAGCAGGGCGAGCGGCACAGCTCTGAGCTAGACAGACTCCTGAAAGGGCAGGGAGCCTCTGCTGGGCCATTTTTCAGACTTTAATTCCATTGAGTGAAGCTTCAAAAGGCTTTCCGCTCAGTCCAAATTCCCTCACTGCCTTGGGCGAACACTGTCCTCCGAGGAGACGGGCCAGCTGACCGTCTGGAGGCCTGCAGTAGACACCAACATTAGGCTGGGTAGTCCCGTTGTATAGAAGCAGCAACACCCACGGCTCAGCTTTATTACCAACTGACGAAACTGACGGAGTCAAACAACAAGGCGCAAAGCTTTCTGACGCAGCAGCCTGCTGTGGCCATACACGTAGGAGCTGGTGGCAGTGACCTCCCTGAGCCCTGCTCCAAACCTGAAGAAGCACAGATTCTAGGAGTGTCCCTTACAGCACCATGTTGAGAACAAACAAGGCAGGGACTGAACTGTTCCCAGCCCCAGGCCCTCAGCAGTGTTCGCTGATAACCCCCAGCCCAGGACGCCAGCAGCCAGCACGCACCTGATGCTCTCGAATTTCAGCTGTGGGCAGACCCTGGGTACACCCGTCCTTGGACAGCTACCCTGTGTCCGCCCTGCTCTGTTTCCTGGGAGTCCATTCTCCCCATACAAATGTTTCTAACTCAGGCTGAACTGTTCTTGCCTCAGACCCCAGGAGTTGGGGACAAGACCAGGAGGGAGGGATCTGGCTCAGTGACCATCCTGAGGGCCTCGTCCCCTTTCTCTTCCACGTATCGATGAGTCGGCATAGAAGGCCAGGAGCAAAATGATGGGGAAGGGGTGCAGGTAGGAGGGGAGGCAGGGAAGCCAAGGACACCCTCCCTCTCGGTCTCCTCCTAGATGCCCGGAGGCCACACCTAAGCCCCCTCCTCTGCCCCATGCGGATGGCAGCCTTTCCCACCAGGGCCCCCTCCATCCCAGCTCCGTGGAAACCTGGGAGCACTTCTCCACGTTGGTCCTCAGACCCGCCAGCTGCGCACTGGGCCTCTGTAGGGGAGCAGGAAACTGGGGTGAAGGGAACCCCATGCCCTGTCCGGGTTCGGCAGCCACGGCTCTCGGAGAGTCTGGTAGAGAGTTTGGCCCCAGGCCCTCTTTTATATTTATTAACCCACTTTCTCTCTTGGCCTTCGGAGCAACGAGGAAACCTCAGCCAAGGCTATTAATAGGCCGAAGCCGTCCCAGGGGAGAACAATGAGCTCAGACCTACAGAACAGGTGCCAAGCATAATAAAGTTTCCCCAGTTGCCTAAATATAGGTTGTAGTCGCACCGGGGCCCTGACCGTGGTCTGTCCATTGCCACCTAGCCCTGCTCCCCGGGCAGAGCTTTCCGTCACCTGTGCCAGACCAGGCCCTGCCTGGAAAGGACCTGCTGTCACCCACGTGTCCACCCCAGGTCAGACCTGGTGGGTGCCGCTAAGGAAGTGGGGGAGGGGTTCGCAAAATGACATGCAGTATAAATGATGCCTGTAAACAGAGCGTTTAATAAAAAGGCGGTGAGGGAATTTATGGGCAACCCAAGGATCATTAAAATTATTTATCTGCTTACCTCCCTTGCTGGCTGATCAGTCTATTAATTATCTATCATACAGTCGCTGATTTGCATTTCAGTGAAAGGACAGGATGAGGGCAGGTGAAAAACACAGAGGGGTCCGGGAACCAAGTGGTGGGGACAGGTGTGGACCCTCCTCTCTACTGACCACAGCTCCCCAGTGGACACCCCTCCAGGCCACACTGCCGCCCATGGCTGTGCCCCCCACCCCTAGCCCCCCAGGCCTCCGAGATGCTCTGGGTTTGAGAACCAGGTCAGGTGGAGCAGAATGTATGCTGGAAGACGGCATTACAGGAAGGGGGCACGCACCTGTTTGCAGATGGGCAGCTCCTGGGAGAGGGTCCCAGCCGAAGGGGCCTGCAGACTAGCTCGAGGGAAACGTGGGCAGAATCTTCCTCGGGCGGATCTGACTTAACCCTGCATTGAAAAGAGAAAACGTGAGAACAAAACCATTTTAATCTCTGAATATCTGGAGTGCATCAGACACATGCTCTCCCGTGCTCTTGATTAAAAATATCACAGGACAGAGTGTCATGGGAACCGCATCCTTTGAACACAGTGAGGAGGAAACATTAGGCTGAGGGGAGTTATAACGGAGTTATAATGAGGCGTCCCCGCTTACCACCTCAAGGCAGCAGATGCTCCCAGCTATGCGGCTCCCCTGTAGTGAGACTCACCATAATGGACGGGTCCCTGGAATGCGAGGAGATGGGGGCAATAGGCCATGGGGTCTGGCTGGCAATGGGCAGACTGATGGTAGCATGGCCCATGTCACCCATTCCCAACTCAGGCCCCAACTCTTTGCTCAGGTCAACAGAGCTGGGTTGGGGATAAATTATCAGCATCACCCCATTACCAGTTGGGGTTCCCCAGCACCAGGCTAGATTCCAGGTGTGTGGGGCTGACCAGGGGCTGCAGCTGGTGCTGACCTTGCAGTTTATCTAGACATTTAACCTCACTCGTCAAAACCTATAGGGCTTGCCACAACCAGCTTTGGGAGCCAATTCCTTGAAACAAATATCTTTTCTCCCTTCCTTCCTTTCCTCCTCCCTCCCTCCCTTCCTTCCTACCTATCTCTACATGATATCTACCATCTATCTATAGCTACAAGATATATCTTCACGTAGCTGTAGATAGATACATACATGCATATGTAGGTAGATAGATACATAGATCATACTGATTCCATTTTTCTGGAGAACGCTGTCTGATTCAGGTCCTTTATCTTGCACTGCAAGAGATTGGCCCTGTCCCCTCACAGAACCAGAAATGTCACTGCCTCTGCCCCCATACTCCACCCAGCAAGCAGTTCCCACTCTCAGGGAAGGAGCTGTGCCCCTGCAGTGACATCGAAGCAAGAGGGAGAAGGAGGCAGCGAGGGTCTAGCCGTCTGCTTGGGAACGAGCCAGGAACGACCTGGCCCTCGTGAGTCTCTGAAGTGACACCCCAGCCCCAGCCCCTGCTTCTGCCGGGGCCTCAAAATCCATCCCTGCCGTCAGAGCCAGGCTCCCTGCATTTGCAGGACAGTCGTCTCCATGCCCCCCTCCTCTGTGCATCCACCCAGCTGCCCTCTCTTCCCCTGCCTGACGATGGCTTCTCAATTCTGATGATGTATCAATAACTGCAAAGCAAAATGCCACAGTTAGCAGCGCTACTGTACTGTAACTAATCGTTTTTGGAATCGATTCGCAGGGTTGCGTGTGCGCAGCGAGGTGGGCCCACGTCCCCAAGGCCGCTGCAGCCCCCAGGAATTAGGCACACCAGGAAAAGTCCCAAGAGACAAAGAAGCGGGGCGGGAAAGGAAGGGAAGGAGACCAGGAAAAGAGCAGATTTTTCAAAAGATGAGAACTGGAGATTCTCAGCTGTAATACAGAGAACAAGGGGCGGCAAGCTGCACCCCGACTCGGGGCTGAGTGAGGACATGGAGGGCGACAGAACCCTTCCTGGGATGGGGACAGACCCCCCCTACCCCCAACCGCCGGTCCCACGCAGCCCACAAACCTCAGGCCTGGAAACTCCTCCAAGCATATGAAGACCTCAGGGGTCCCTGGGGCTCATGTACTTAAAAGATTTCATTGGCTTAATAAACTGTGTTGTCGCCTCTGCCAGGTCAGTCTTGGGCCGAGCACAGGAGAGGACTCGGGGGGTGCTCTGGGGCTGCTCCAGCCTCCCCGGGGAGGGGAGATCGGGCAGGAGGGAAGGACAGGGGCTCAGGCAGGGCCATATCTCTGATCATCAAGACTCTCAGAACCTTCTTCCTGCTGTAACACGTGAACCCTTCCTGAGATCCTAGAGGGAAACTGAGGCACGGAACCCTTGAAGAGCTCCTCAGCCCCAACCGCTCAAGGCGCACAACCTGCATATTGGCACGTCTTGGACTCAAGTGAGCCCAGGGAACCTGGAGCCTGGAGCCTGGCTTGTGACTGCCACACTGCGCTTGCTCTTGCTACAGTGGCCGCTGGGTGACTCGGTTTCCCATCTGCGATGTGAGCTCGCAGCAGTTAAAACAGCTGCCCCCTCTTGCACAGCACCCCTGCCCCACCCCCCCGGGGCAGGACCATCAAAGGAGGCAGGACAAGTGGGGCCACATAACAGGGGCTAGTTTAGGAAGGTGCCAGAGAGGGGACAGGGGCCTCTGTGCACTTCCTGAGCACGAGTCCCAGGATGGAGCATTAGTGGGTCCAGTGCCCTGGGTTCCACGCATCAGTCATTCACTCATTCATTTAGCCATGACACCCTGGTCCTGTTTACCTCACCTCTTCCCACCCTAGATCCCCAGCAAATTCCCAGGCTGGACCCCAGGGGCTCAGGCCAGAGCTGGGCTGTCTGGGTGTGGAAGGGGCAGAGAGCCCCAGGCAGGGGGGTCCTGACAGTGGAAAATGGGAAAGGTCCAGTGACACCCTCAGAGCAGCGAGGGAGGGAGGGCGTGGCGTCTAGTCTCTTCCTGCAGATAAAGTGCCAAAGCCAGGGCAACTTGGCCTGAGGTCTGCTGTTTACTTCACTTGCCCAGAGACTCTGCTTCCCACTGGCAATCCCTGGGGGCCCCTGTGGCTGCAGCATGTCCCCTGGAGAAGGGGGTGCTTGAGCCCAGGTCTTGAGCCACAAGATGCTCCTTGGACGAGCGGACACCCCTGCCAATTCTCCTACCTCTGGGAGCTACCCTGAGGCCAAATGTAAACATCTCCAGACCTCTGTTCATCCTCACCTGCATCTCCACCCCTCTCCCGGGATTGCTTTGAGGGTCCGAGGGTCTGTAGTCCGGCCTGCCCGGGCCTGAAGGCTCAGCAGCCAAAGAGACTTAGAGGGCAGGGAGGGGTCAAGGCCCTACACAGGCTGCTCAGCGTTTTGGCCGGGGAGGTCAGGGGTCATGATCACTCCTGAAGTGGGGTGCAGGCATTGGGGGCCTAACAAGGAGTCCAGACATTGGCAAATGGTTTTCTTAATTTTTTTTAATAAGTAGAACAGTTTCAGGTTTTGCCTTAAATCTTTCCGGGGTACAGACTGCTTTCCCAAGTGGGAGAGTAGAGGGTGGAGTAATCCACAGTTCCCCAGGAGTATGCAGAACCCCAAGCCTGCCAATAAACAGGAAAGGTGTGCAAGAATTGGGAGATTCAGAGTAAAGTAAGCTGCCACCTCAGCTCTCATGTGGACAAAAGGAGACGCGACTAGCAATCTCAGTGAGGGTGGAGGAGACGGCTGGGGGAGCACAGGCAGGTCCAGACAGTTGGAGAGCTGTGGGCAGGATCTGGAACATTCTAAGACCAGCCACTCACAGACCACTCAGGGGTACCATCTCCAGTGCAAGAGGAGATGGGCACAGAGACCCACGCCGTGGCATCCTCCGCGATAGCAACATTTTCCAAACAACCGGAATGTTCATAAAGGACAGAGTGGATAAAGATGAAGCAGTAAATTCCTAAGACAGATTTCTACACAACAGATAAAAGGAGTAGATCAGAAACGCACGGAGAAGCTGCAAAAACACAAAGCTGAAAGAAGCAAGTTGCAGAAAGATGTCACGTGCGTGCACTTTAAAAAGACAAACAGGGACTTCCCTGGTGGTCCAGTGGTAAAGAATCCGCCTTCCAATGCAGGGGCGCAGGTTCAATCCCTGGTCGGGGAACTAAGATCCCACATGTTGTGGGGCAACTAAGCCCGCGCGCCACAACTACTGAGCTCGCACACCTCAACTAGAGAGCCTGCTTGCCACAATTACAGAGCCCATGTGCTCTGGAGCTTGCGCGCCACAACTAGAGAAGTTAAAACCCACACACCACAACTAGAGAGAAGCCCGAGAGCCACAACTAGAGAGAAACCTGCACGTTGCAATGAAGACCTATCACAGCTGAAAAAAAAAAAAAAAAAAGACACAGAACTATGATCTATTTATTGTTCATGGTTACATGTGTGCAAGTGTGTCTTCAAGGGACAAAAAGGATGGACAACAAGTCGACGCTCAGAGCTACCTCTGGGTGTCTGTATGTCGGGGGGGATTGAGGCTGGGAATGCAGAGGGGACTTGACCTCCATCTATAATGCTTCATTTCTTTCTTTTTTTTTAAACTATGCAGTATAACTAAATGTTAACCACTGTTAATTGCAGGTAGGAAAATATTATATTTTACCTTAATTATCATATCTCCAAAAAACTTTTGAGACAAGCATGGTTAGATTATAAGCCCCTTGAGAGAGTGAGAGACCCTGATGACGTGTATGGTCACTCAGCCGGTAGCGCGGTGTTTTACACCCTCAGTGACTCAGTAGAATTCCTCGGCCTGGATGGCGGAACAGATGAATGACGCACGTGGCAGTGACTCTGGAAGAGTCAGATCTGCCCTTTCCACTCTCCCTCCATTTAAAGGACAATAAGGTAGTCTAGAGTTGTTTCTTCAACTGCCCACTGAGGTTTTCTTTAGAAACCACCAGCCTAAGTAGGCAGGAAGCAGAAGGTGCTGCATTCTAAACGAGGGTCATGGGTGTGGGGACGTTAAGTCCCCAAATGTTCTGGAGTGTAGACCATCCGTGTTTCCAAGAACTCGAGCTCTCACATTCCTCTCCCCCAAAAATGCAAGGGGAGGGCACAGAGCCTGGGGATCCAGCGGCCGACTTCTGAGCAGAGCTTCGCCACACTGAGAAGGGTGCCATGAGGTCCTGGACGCTCAGAGGGCTTCTCCCACTCCTCGGCAAGCAAACGTCTTCAAGCAGACAAGGAACCCAGAGTGACACAAGAGGGGTCAGCAGGGTGGCTGTTCTGTTATGAGGGGCCAAGTCTGCAAGAGAGCTGGAGACAGGCCAGTCCATGGCCAGAAGCCCATTCGAGACGATTTCCCCCAAGAGCTGCCATCTGTCATCCACCGGGCTGCACATGCACACTTGCCCGGGTCCTCCAGGGCTGGTATGCCATGGAGGGCAGGTGTG